AATGAAGATGAAGATGATGAAGGGATGAACCTTATATGTGTAACTAGTGGTGTCTCATATTTAGGACTTGCTTTGGTCAATCAACTTTTGCTAAGGGGTTACTCTGTTAGAGTCATAGTTCATAATCAAGGTACTCTTTTCTTTCTTCTCTTTTCTTCAATCCAATTTTAGTTCTTTGCTACAAACACTTTTCAATTTTTTCATCTTTCTAATTATTATTGTTGGTAAGTAAGTCTCACATCGCTTAATTCATTGTCTCGGAAATGATTTAAATATTTGTTGGACTACTTCTCTCATAACCAATTGGTTTTGAGATAAAACCTTAACAATTATGACGTGCTTGGAATCACATATAATACATACTATGTTTGTTGCAAATGGTAAATAAATCAACTCTAATATCTATGCACAACCAGTGTTAAGATTTATATATAGTCCATACATTATTCATTTATATTAACTGTTTTTTAAAAAACTCTTATACTTTTTCGGTGTATAGAAAAGATTATCATGATTTCTTTATATTGTATTCCTCCATATCCTTCTTTGTTTTTTCTTTCTTTATTGGTCATGGGTTGAGTGGTTTTGAAGGAAAAAACATTAAATTTATAATTACTTGTATATTCGTGTATGTTGATACATATTCTTATTTTATGATATTAAGTAATCAATTTTTATACTATATTATAATTTTATCTACTTTATATTATAATTTTTTTGCTTTTATTAGAATGTCTAACTTACTGTTAATGTCTTGAGAGTACTTACTTATGATTATATGATTTTTTTGTATAATTAGAAAATGTCAAGAACAAAATAGGAAAATATAAATTACACCATGATAGCGGTTACACTATGTTTTGGTTTTATATATAGTATAGAAATATAGATAAATTGAGTTAATATTTATGAAACCTTGTTTGATAATATTTTTTCATACAAACTTATGTTATTAATATTTTCAAGGAATCAAGGGATATGTGATCGAAAATATGTGCATGTGGAAGTTTTCGAGAGTCACATTAACAACTTAATTAATGTCTATTTTATTGACCCAAAATCAGATTCACATGCAACAAAGTGGTTGTGGTTATGGTTTCAAATTTTTATTATTATTGGATTTGACATTTAGTGAAATATTCCTACTTTATTCTAATTTATATTGAAGGCTTTTCTACTTTGCATACGTACACATGTTTACAAAAAAAAAAACCATCAAAAAATAATATTATTTATATTTTGAGAGATGGGATGTTTAACTTTTCTCCATAAAAAAGTCATTATAAAATAAAAGAGTATAATAATTATACACTCATGAAGTTCTATACACAATTAGTATATAATTTAATATTTATGTATGTTACGTTATGATTAAAAAATTAATGGGTGATGTATCAATAATATAAAAAACTCTTACGATTTTAATGATGATATGATATACTTGACTATATAAATAAATTATTCAAATATACAATTTTGAATAAGGAAGCTTTCACCTCCAATGTCATGAATGTTAGAATATTAAATCTCTTATATTGGATTTCTTTAATATATCCTATGATGCCTAAGTAAGCATTTTATGTATGGTCACAAAAATCAAAAGAGTGCTTGGTAGAAGTTAGTTAATTAATTATGACCCTAATATTTTATTACCCTTTTTCTACAACACGAAAAGAAAGCTCACATGTAACCACAACTAAAGTGCTTTCTCTACTTGAGTTTAACCCATTATTTAAAAGAATAAAATATCTTTTTTGATATAAAGAGATAAATTATATATTTCAACCATTAAAATTATGACATGTGTCCTATTTAATTATTTTATATAAACAAAATAATACACGTATCATACTTTTAGTTGCCGAATGAGATAAATTATCTCATGATATAAGGAAATATTTTATTTTATTATTCAAAATGCACTATTAATGATCTTATATAATGATTACATATCTAAACCCAACAAAATTTATAAATTTGGTTGTATGTTTGATGAATTAGATAAACAAAATACAAGAAGCAAAAGACTCAAATTTAGTAAACCCTACTAAAATTAATGTTGGTATAAAAAGTTATTGATCTAGTGGTGGTGTGAGGATCTGTTAGATTCCAAAATGTCAAGAGCTCCATTTGTATGATAGATTCTTATTCATACGGATGATCATGCACCCTAGAATGATTAATTCTTTATCTATAGAATAATTTATATCATTGGCAGTACCAAAAAAATTAATGTCGGTAGAAAATAGTTACAATGATTTGATTAATATTGATTTATGGTGGTATTAATAAATACAGAAGAGATAGAGAAAGTGAGAGAAATGGAGAAGTGTGGTGAAATGAAGAGAAGAAGAAAAAGCAAATTAGAAATAAGAATGGTAAAGCTAAGTGATAATAATGTTCATAGTTTGGAGAAAGCATTGGAAGGTTGTAATACTCTTTTTCATACTTCTTCATTTATTGACCCTTCTGCCCTCTCTGGTTACACTGTGAGTCTCTCTTTTTTCATTTCTTATTTAACATCTTTATCATTATATTAATATTCTAATTTAACATCTTTAATCTCTTGTTAATGAGTTTAGATCCTCTCTTTAATTGTATATCTTATGGTGAATGTGTAATTAATAAACCCAAATATATGTACCCAAAGATGTAACAAACCAACAAATGAGTAAAGTTAGAATAGAATAGAATAGTATATGTAATGACTTGTTTCTATTTGTAATATAGAAATCAATGGCTGAAATTGAAGTGAGGGTGAGTGAGAATGTAATAGAAGCATGTACAAGAACAACTTCCATAAAAAAATGTGTATTCACATCATCACTATTAGCTTGTATTTGGCAAGACAATACACAATCAAACCTCAACCTTGTTATCAACCATACCTCATGGAGCAATGAGTCTCTCTGCATTCACAACAAGGTAAATTTGCACACCATTTTTCTACTATTTATTGTCAGCGTAAAGATTTATACACAGTCACTGTTTCATCCACCGTTTGTTTGGATTACATTTTTTAAAAGGTCAGTGATGATTAAATATGAATGACTAAAAATACAGTGACGGTGTATAAAATCAGTGCATACATTTTTTCTTTCTTTTTTAATGTATATAGTGGTTTAAAGCTTTTTGTAGTAACTTTTTCTCATAACAATTGAGCACTACCATTAGCATTACTTATAGGTTTAAAAAATATATACAGAACATAATAATATTTGAATTAGTATAGTAAAAAAGTGTAAAAATAGATGAGTTAAAGAGTATATAAGTAGATGATGTCAAACTCACTCATATACTTCTTTCATTAATATGTTTTTTTCCATTTTAACCCATGTGTGAAGATTTCTCGTTGTTTAGACTCATGAATCCCAACATAAAGTAGTGATAAGTTTTAAGACATGATATGAAAATTGAGTTGAAATAATAAATTTGGCTTTCCCTTTAATTTTTTTTTTATCCTTAAGGTTCGTTTGCGAGTTTTGTTTTGGAGGAGAAAGAATGGAAAGGAAAGGTTTATGAACCATCTCAAGAGTGTATTTGATAACTTCAAAGCCTTTCATTTCCAATATTCAACTCGCAAACATACCCTTAACATAACTGATATGTTTTATGACCAAACACTTCCTTGAAATATATGGCAGCTTTGGTATGCATTAGGAAAGATGAGGGCAGAAAAGAGTGCATGGAGAATAGCTAATGAAAAGGGTTTGAAGCTCACTAGTATATGTCCAGCTCTGATTACAGGTCCTCAATTTTGTCATAAGAATCCAACACCAACTATTGCTTATCTCAAAGGTACTCCTATAATACTATGTAACCAAAATTAATGTCCAATTTCCTCATGCAATTTTATCATAAGAAAGGATCCACTTACTCCAATATAAGTTTTTTAAATTTATTCAATATCTTAGCTATCAATTTTAGGGAACTTCAATGGTTTGAAATAGTGAGTAGATCTAAACCATTGGATTTCCCTAGAATTGATGGCTAAGATGTGGAGTAAGTTTAAAAAACCTAATCTTAGAGTAAATAGATCTCTCATCTTTATCATATAATAGTATCTAATTTCTTTTAAATTTTAATTTACAAATGCAAATGTAGGAGCAAAAGAAATGTATTGTCATGGTTTGCTAGCAACAATTGATGTAACAAAATTGGCTGAAGCTCATGTGAGTGTATTCAAGGAAATGAATATGAATGCTTATGGGAGATACATTTGTTTTGATCATATAATTGATACCCAAAATGAAGCACAAAACTTGGCTAAGGACATTGGTATGCCTAAAGAAAATATATGTGGGGATACATTAAATAATTCATTGCATAGCTTTGTAATGTCAAATGAGAAATTATGTAGACTTATGTCAAGGTCACTTAGGTGTTATAGTGAATATTATTAGATGAAACAATGTTATGATTTAATCATAGCCTTAAAAGTTTGTTTGTGGCATGCTTGAGATTAGGAGAGAATATAGAATGTGCCATGTTCTACAATTTAGTAAATAATGCCACTATTAATTTATAACTTCATTGTTTTTTTACAATTCTAACAAATTTTGCTAAATTCTTTATATTCATTTTTATTATTATTATGTCAAATGTTACGTGATTGTCTCTCCTAACAAGTGTATCTCAAATGAATTTAACAATGAGTTTTGTGATGCCCAATATAGAACAAATTTGTTTCCATATCATGCATATGCAATGAGTTTAATTGATATTATCAAGGTAGTTAGATATAACAAAGGTTTCATATTTTTTTCATAAATGTTACGCAAGTTTCTTATATTTTTTCAGACTTTGATATTCAAAATCCAATAGTTAATTTTTTTTAATTAATTACAGGCCTTATTTCTTTTTCACCCAGAAAATATAATAATGAAAATCGTATATGGGTGAATCTAAAGTTCATTGGCTTATTAAAAAAATACAATAATATAATATTATCTCCATAATTTAGAACTTGAAAAAAACAATTAGAATAATTGAATTAATAGCATAACTCAATCCCTTAGATGTTCATTAATGATTGTGATCATATCCACAAATCATTACAGGTCTGTAGACTCATCATCGTTATACTCTCAATTACTAATAATTCAAATATAAAAAACAATAACCAACATAGGACATAACAATAATAATATAAATTCTTGAAGTACAAAATTAATCAATTTGAAAAATAGTGACCTCAGAGATCTTGGTGATAAAAAAATCATCAAATGGGTATATCCCATCAAGAGTAGCAAATATTTTTCTACCATCATTAGCCAAATATTAAATATTCATAATAAAAATTCAAATGATGCTAAAAAGTTGCACATGTTATTATAGATTGAAGTTAGTTGGATTTAACCAATTTGGTTGGAGAATTTGAATATGTGATTAATGGAATAAAAGTGATTGGCATTTTATTGATAATCAATATAATTACAAAGGGGATGTATTTATAAATAACCAACATATCTTATCTAATCCTAATACATAATTAAATATTCCTAATGATGAAGATTAGATAAGATTAAATGAGATTTGAATGAGATTTATAGATCTAAAGATAGATTGCTTGTGTTGCAAGAAAAGTTTGTTGGGCCTTTGACTTTTGTTTGACTGAGCCAACCTTGGCTTTCTGACTGGGCCAGCCTTGGCTGTCTGACCGTGTTGGTTGTGCCAGACATGGGTCATGACCAAGCCATGCTTGCCTGTGTGACTTGCATCTGGCCGAGACAACTTGCAAGCCATGGCTAAGCTGTTGGTGTCCTCTGACCCTGTGTGACTTGCATCTGGCCTGGTCATGGTTGGCACTGACTGAGGCGTGACTTTGTTGGCTGACCGAGGAGGCTTGTCTTTGGCGAGGCGTGGTGCAGGGAAGTTGGTGCTGCTGACCGAGACAGTAGGCATGTGAGTCTCGGTCAGTTTTGACTCTGGTGGGGCATCTCTGGCTATTATCCCCCCGCAAGTTGGAGGGCACAAATTGTGTAATCCCAACTTGAGATGGATCAAGGCATACTCTTTAGGACCAAGAGCTTTTGTTAAGGCGTCTGCAAGCTGCAAATGGGAAGGAACAGGAAGTAGTTTCAAGGAACCATTGTTGTATGCTTCTCGAACAGTGTGACAATCAACCTCGATGTGTTTAGTCCTCTCATGGAAGACTGGGTTTGAAGCAATATGAAGTGCAGATTGGTTGTCACAGTATAGAGTTGTGGAGTTTGAAGGAGATATGTGAAGGTCATGAAGGAGGTAGGATAGCCATTTGATCTCGCAAGTAGTGATGGCCATGGCTCTGTATTCTGCCTCACAAGAGCTGCGAGAAAGTGTTCGTTGCTTCTTGGATTTCCAGGAGATGAGAGAGTTTCCTAAATAGATGCAATACCCTGTAGTGGATCTCCTTGTATCAGGGCATGAGGCCCAGTCACTGTCACTGTATGCCTTCAAGTGTATGGCAGAGTTGCAAGGAAAAAACAAACCAAGTGCAGGGGAACCTTTGAGGTATCGAAGGACCTTTAAGGCAGTAGTGTGGTGACAGGTGGTAGGGGCAGCCATGAATTGAGCAAGTTGATGAACCACAAAAGTGATATCTGGTCTTGTGTTTGTAAGATAGATGAGGCGTCCAATGAGCCGTCTATATGCTTCAGGATCAGAATATGGTGGACTGGAGTCTTGAGATAAATGTGTGCCATGAGTCATAGGGGTAGAAGATGGTTTGCAGCCAAGGAGACCTGCATCTGAGATGATTTCTAAGGCATATTTTCTTTGATTGATGGAGATGCCTGTATGATTTCGTGCAATTTCCAAGCCTAAAAAATACTTAAGGTTACCTAGATCTTTGATGTGAAAGGCATTGTGTAAGGAAGTTTGAATGGAATTGAGTTCATGGAGATTGTTTCCTGTTAAGATGATGTCATCCACATAAACTAGGATGATAGCCAATGAATCACTGGAGAAATGTTTGATAAACAGAGAGTAGTCATGTTTGGATTTGGAGTAACCATGCTTAAGTAGAAGGGTTGAAAGCTTGGCAAACCATTGCCTACTGGCTTGTTTGAGGCCATAAAGGGATTTTTGTAGTTTGCATACCTGGTTAGGGGAGTGGTGTGGAAGACCAGGTGGGAGTTTCATGTAAACAACCTCAGTTAAGTCACCATGGAGAAAGGCATTGTTAACATCAAGTTGCTTTAGGGGCCAATGATAGATAGATGCTAGAGCTAATATTAATCTCACTGTGCTTATTTTGACAACAGGGGAAAAGGTATCCATATAGTCAAGACCCTCTGTTTGTGTGTAGCCTTTAGCTACTAGCCTTGCTTTGTATCTTTCCATTGTACCATCTGCCTTGTATTTGATTTTAAATACCCATTTACAACCTATTGGTTTGTGTGAGTGTGGCAAATCAGTGAGCAGCCATGTATTATTCTGTGCCAGAGCATATAATTCCTTGTCAATAGCTGCTTTCCAGTGAGGATCAGAGACTGCTTGAGAGTAGGTTTTAGGTTCTGAGTGTGAGGCTATGGAAAGGATGGTGTGTCTGTGTTTGGGAGCTAGAGTGTCATAGGAAATATAATTGGATAATGGGTAAGTTGGAGTGGTTGTAGGCTTGGTGTTGTGTAAGAGAGCACAATGATAGTCATGTAGGTAGGAAGGTGGTCTAGATAATCTAGTGCTTCTTCTTATGGGTGAAGGGTCATCAGGGGGATGTTGATGGGTGGTTTGAGGAGTGGGGTGGATAGCAGGGATAGAGGATGAGTAGAAAATGTCATCATATATGCAAGGGTGAGGAGGTGGATGGACAGGAGGGGCTTCTGTGTTCGTGATGGGTTTAAGGGCTTTGTATGGGAATATAAGTTCATGGAAGACGACATTTCTGCTAGTTTCAAGGGCTCTAGTGTTGAGGTGTAAGACTATATATCCTTTTGTTCCTTGTTTGTATCCCAAAAAGACACATTTGGTTGCTCTGGGATCCAGCTTGGATCTCTCATGGTGTAATGTACTTGTGTAGCAAAGGGAACCAAAAACTCTCAGGTGGTGAAAATCAGGCTTACTGTTATGAAGCTTTTGATGAGGTGAGTACTTGTTCAATGAAGGGGTGGGAAGTAGATTAATGACGTGGGCAGAATGCTTTAAAGCATAGCACCAGTAGATTTTGGGAATGTGGCTTTGGATGAGTAAGGCTCTTGTCACATTCAATAGGTGTTGATGTTTTCTTTCAACTACACCATTCTGCTCAGGGGTGTATCTACATGTAGTTTGGTGTTGAATACCAAGAGCTGAGTAAAAGGAAGGTAGAGAAAATTCCATGCCATTGTCACTTCTAACAATTTTAACTTTGGCAGAGAATTGAGTAGCTACCATGTGAATAAAATTTTGCAGCAGCTTAGAGGCTTCTCCTTTTGTTTTCATAAGATGGACCCAAGTGTATCTTGAGTAATCATCAATAATTGTCAAAAAATATTTGTAGCCATGTATGGATATAGTAGATATGGGACCCCAAATATCAATGTGTATCAAATCAAAGGGGTGTAAAGAATGTGTTTGGCTTAATGGAAAACTAAGTCTCTTCTGTTTTGCTAAATGGCAAGTATCGCATACATTGTCCTTATTAAAAGAGATAAATGGAAATTGTGCTTTGATCAAATCCATACAAGAGATAGATGCATGAGCTAGTCTAATGTGCCATAAGTCTGAACCAGAAACATGATTGGAATGTGCACCAGAGAATAAAATTCTACAACTGTACTTATTGGCTTTCAAGATATATAATCCATTTGAAAGTTCAGCTGAACCAATCTTCCTCAAAGAGCTGTTCTCCTGAATTGTACAACAAGAGGCATTAAACAATAAGGAACATGATGAATCCATAGTCAATTTAGGAATGGATAGGAGATTGTATGAAAAAGTTGGCAGGAACAAGACATTATGAATGGTGATGTCTTTATTTAGAGGGACAGTGCCTGATATAGAGGCAGTGATTGTGTGACCATTTGGCAAGATAACTTTAATAGGTTTTATCTTGTAGTAGCATGAATAGAGGGATAGGGAACATGATATATGATCAGTGGCACCACTATCTAATATCCATGGCACATATCTTGAATTTATCATACCTTCTTCACTGTTTTCATTTACATCAGGTGCAATTGTTGAGAGAATAGTGACATTATTTTGATCAGTGTTGAGTCTGGTTTGTGGAGGCATGTTTTGCAGCCTTCTGTATTCTTCCTCATTGAACCCAATGAGTGGGTCAGTTCTTCTTTGATCAGATTCAGAGGTAGTAGCAGAATTGACATGTTGATTTCTGGTAAATTTAAAATTTGCTGGGAATCCATGTAGCCTATAGCATATGTCTATGGTGTGACCTTGCTTCTTGCAATGAGTGCAGTATTTACCATTTTTGGACCATGTTGCTTTAGAGGAATTTCCTCTGAAAATTCCCTTGCCTCTGCTAAAATTGGAGCTTCTGTTGGAAGAACCATCTTCCCTCCAATTTGTTTCTGCTGCTAAAACTCTGCCTTCACTATTTCCATTGCCTAATTGTCTTTCTTGTTGAACAACTAAGGAAAATACTCTGCTCATGTTAGGCATTGGCTCAATCAACATAATTTGGGATCTCACACTAGCATAGGAATCATTTAATCCTTTCAAGAATCTAATTACTCTGTCCTCTGTTCTATGATTTCTCACATCTTTTAATGCATCACAAGTACATGGAATTTCACAAGAACACTTAGGAAGAGGTCTAAAGTTATCAAGCTCATCCCACATGATTTTCAATTCAGTGAAGTAATTGGTTACAGATAAATCTCCCTGTCTCATACCAGCAATGGATTCTTGTAAATCTGCAATCCTAAACAGATTTCCTTGAGAAAATCTTTCCCTCAACTCATCCCATACCTCATATGCTCTATCTGTCCAAAGCATGCTTTGTGCTATGGTGGGTGATACTGACCTTGAAATCCATGAGATGACCATATTGTTGGCTCTCTCCCATGCTTGGTATAAGGGATCAGTTTTTAGTGGCATCTTGATGCTGCCATCAACAAATCCAAGCTTTTGTTTCGTGATGAGGCAAAGTCGCATTGATCTTGCCCATTGATGGTAATTCTCTCCATCAAGCAGTGGTGATACGAGAGAGATTGAAGGATTCTCAGATGGATGAACAAAGAAAGGAGAGTTGTGATCTTGAATTGGGTCCATTTGGTTCTTTGATGGTGGTTGGGAATTTTGAAGAGATAATGTGCAGCCTATTGAATGTAACAGAGCTCAAAAGAGCTCTGA